ATCATCCCTTCAGTGGCAGCCCAGATCTTCTCCCGTGGATTCTTCGTGCCCTCCAGCGTTCTTCTGCATCTCTCTTTCGAAATAGCCCAGAGTGTGACCTTGCGTATCATTCCGAAGCAGATTCTTTTTTTCAATTTGCTCAGGTTAGAGGGTAGGTTAGTTCAGAGGAGAAGTTGAAGGGGGTGTTCAGGGAGAGGGGGGATAGAAAGGGGCGGTCTCATAGATCAGATGCCCTTGCCCGATATTCTGTGGGTTCTTTGCAACTAATTAGGCAGAGTCATTGTATCATGTCTTCTCGTTCCTGGTCTGAGCAGGCTTTACAGATATCGGAGCACTGTTCGGATCGTTCTTCCTTCTTCTAACGTGCATCCACTGATTACCGATAGAGCAGCGTATGATACGGGCCACTGCTAGAAAGAGGCAGTCCCATAGTTCAGATGCCCTTGCCCGATATTCCGTGGCTTCTTTGCAACTAATTAGGCAGAGTCGTTGTATCATGTCTTCGTGTTCCTGGCCTGAGCAGGCTTTACAGACATCAGAGCGCTGTTCGGGTCGTTCTTCCTTCTTCTAACGTGCATCCACTGATTGCCGGTGGAGCAGCGTATGCTACGAGCCACTGCATGCTTCTGAGTTTGATTGGTCTTATGGTTTTGTACTTCTTCCACGGGATTGTAGATATTTGTTCTGAGTCAGCGCCAATTAGCTTACACCACCTGCCGTTGATTACTGGTTCCGGGTACTTTGTCTTCAGTAACATCTTCTGATCTAGTTTGAATGTATATTCAGAAATAGGAGTGGGTGGTTTGCTGGTCCCGTGAAGCATCCTAAGGGCTCCTACACAGGCCCTTTCGGACAGACAGTTTTGCACCGGCCCCCACGCCGTGCAGACCTCTCTGTTGCACGGCCGGAAGGCCCACGGTCACACTTTGGGCCAGACCGTCACCTTGGTCCTTTGCCATTTATTTTATTTTTGCTGATTATTTATTTATTCATTTTTGTTGAGTTTGGGCAGTCCTGTTTCTGTCTGTTTCAGATGTGTCGTTCCGGAGTTTTGAATTGTCTGAGATTAGTGGATCGCAGATGGGCCGTAGTACGCCAGGCGCAGTTTCGTGCACAGGCCATTGGAGGCCAGATTCAGACTTGTCTGTATGGCGCAGGACCACGACTTGAGCCTACGATCGCGACCGTTGATCGACATCCGATGGGATGGCCCTGATCGTGGGCCGTGGGACACAGGGCCAGGTCCAGCACCATATAGCTGGACCAGCACCCAGCAGCGGACATCATTCAGTCCTGCTGGTGCATTGGGATATGGACTGCTGGGAGACAGTGCTGGTGTGGATGAGCTGCGTTGTAGCAGGCAGGAGTGTGGTGGGATACGAACAGAGGTTGAGGGCACGTGCCTGGACGCCATAGTCGGGCTTCGCCTTGTGAGTGTGTTCGGCCATCATCCTACAACGTCGTCGGGAGCAGGTGCCAGAGAGGACGGTCTTTTCTTCCTCTCCTCCATCCAGCTTCTTTCCTTGGCCCTCCATCTTCGTCTTCTCCTTGTAGAGAGAGAGAGAGAGAGAGAGAGAGAGAGAGAGAGAGAGAGAGAGAGAGAGAGAGAGAGAGAGAGGTTTCAGGCAGAGACTATTGAGCCTTGAGCGCCCAGGGTCTGATTCGACATCGAGGCATTGGTTGGACATATGATGGGGAGACTACTTTTTGACGACTACGAGTTCTACTATCTCCTCCCCTTTCATCGTCGGTGGTGTTCTTCCCCGTGTATGTGCGCAAGGAGGGGCCTTTCTTCTGTGTATGATTCCCGTCCTTGCTGGGTGACACGTGTGATGCTGTTTGTGGGAGTCTAGTCTAAGTCAGGTGTGTCAGGTCATATCTCTGAGCCTTCCGCTGTGCTGCATGGCATCATTTGTTGTCTATCTGGACACACGCTGCTTGCAAGAGATACATAGTGTGTGTCTGAGTCCTTATCATCACATTGGAGTTCCTTCGGTCCCACATTGCTCATCCACCAGATGAGCATGCATCATCCTCTGTGGGAGGCAAGCCCATTCCCGAGGGTCAAATTCTAGAACCTGAATCGACACTCCCATCTGGAAAATCTGTTTCGGCCCTTTCGGCCAGATTCCCATCACCCTCACTTTGCGAAGTGTGAAGGCCTGCGGCGTTGCTGTTTGTAGATCTGTGTTGTTAATGAGCGGTTCATCTGGCTTTATCCACTGGATAGGGAAGGATGTGAAGATACGCCAAATTCAGCTATAATGACCGTATGTTGTATTTTGGGGAAGACTGTAGGATGATTGGTGGTTTAATGCCCTGAAAAGCTGGTCTAGATCTCTTCTTTATGTCCTTGGATGCTCCAGTGCATTGGCGGAAATCAACAGCTGTCACAGTTAAGGTGGAAGGGTCTGCACATTGACTAGGGGCTGAGAACTTTATTGTCATTGAGCGAGAAATAAAGATTCGTGGGTGCTACAGGTAGGTGCCTCTGGAGGACTGTATCGCCGCCACCCAAAGCAGCATAATCGTCGAGGGAAAGGGTTTGTTCGAAAACCGAACAAGTTCGCAAAATGGGAGGTGTATCGCTGGTTGGCCGCACACTGTTATTGAATACTTCCCCACATCTTCTGCACAATCTGGTACGTACCTCCCCCGCCGCCCCCCTCTCCCCCTCCCAACACCCCCTCTGGCTCTTCCCCCCAACCCCCATTTTCATTCTTCCCTCTCTGTCCATTGGAAGACAGCAGGTACAATAGGAGAGAGAAAAATAAGAACAGCAGGTAAGTACCTTCCCACCCCCACTCTTTTCTTCTACGATTTCTACATAGGAGGGTCCATACCTTAGCAGGGACAAAGCGGAGGAGGATAAAGTCAGATAAATCTTTCACGTCATCCCGAAAGTCGCATGGGGGAAAGTCACAGAACTGATGAAGGACCGAGGATGATCAGAGTTATAGGCCTAGGGCAGACAGGCGACCCACCGACTGCGCTTCTTGGCAGATGAGACACCTCTGCCTGGTGGTTTATAATGAATATGACAAATAGCCAACGATTGGTGAGAGTGTCTGCAGTTGCAATCCTGTCACCAGAATGAAATTGGGACCTACGGAAGTCATCAGGAAGTCATCAGGAAGAAGGCATCAGCGTAAGCCCTCTCCAAAACAATGGGACCTGCGGAGGTTCTGTCTGTGCAGAAGTGCAGTCAGTTCCCTGTCTGCAAACCCGCTGAGAGCCCAAGCACTACTACAGTATTCGCCCGAATAGAACCCCCGGTAATTATAGCTGTATTTGGTGCAACTTTCAGTCTAGATATGGCGATAATGACCGGACTGTTATGATCCTGGCCAATTTCGAAGCACACATTCATCAGAAAGTACAATGCTGTCCAATTGCAAAAAGAAATGAATGAACTTGAGAGGAGAGAGAGAGGGAAAGAAGAAGAAGAAGAAGAAGAAGATGATGTACACCAGCATAGATCAATGATAATGCTCTTCTTCTTCGCCAACCACTCTCCTCCTCCTTATCTCCTCCCCTCTTATTCAATCAAGAAATAATAATAGTAATGTTGAATGGCTGAGCCAGAATCAATGTCCGAATCCCTCTTCTACTGCAGGTATCACATGAGGTCCACCATAGCCATGTGCAAGGAAGATGAGCAATAGCGAACTTCAGCAATCAAACAGCATCATACATATGAGTCCAGATAGTCTTAACCTCGAACCGACAGCAGAATTGCATCACGAGATTCACCAAATAAGAACACACCAAGAGTTCATAATTGACAATGCTGAATAAGTCCCATCATCATCATCAACGAA